CTTGTAAGTTCGGTTCCCAGCACCCACACAGTGGCTCTCAACTTCCAGATGATCTGGCATCTTGTGGCTTCCAAAGATACCAGGTATTCATGTATACATTCAGGTAAAACACTCTTAAACATAAAAATAAAATAAGTAAATCGTTTCAAAAATCACTGAGTTTGCTGACTTGAGTTTCTTTTTTTTTAAAATCATTAAATGAATTTGGGTTTGGGATTAGGACAAAAATTTCAACAGTTTGGAAATGGTCTTAGACAAGTTTCTGCTATTTTGCACTACATATTTATGCCAAATGACATTCTCAGTATTCACAATCAAAACTCAAAATATAGGTCCACTCTGAAAAACACTGAAGATACTGTGCCCTGTAGCATCACATATTTGACTAAGACTTAGTTCTTTATTTTTAAATAACCAAGCATGTCTATCATCAGTATGTAAATTTGTTTTCATCTTCAATAATTGTATACCCAAGAGAATTGTTTCAAAATAAATTTCTTTATGATTTGTCAGTATGTGTTTGCTTTGTATGCCCATTTTACAGATCTATATTTCTTGGATGCAAAGGGGTCAAAATTGGGAAAAAGTTTAAGAAACCCTGTTCTAGGTTGTTGCCTGGACCTATAAATAATTTATCTTAAACTTCATGATAAAATTATCTCCTCTTGTTCTGGGTGTGGCAACTCATGTCTATAATCTCAGCACTCAGAGGCCAAAGATAGAAGGGAGAAGCCAGCCTGGGCAGCACAGTGAGACCCTGCCTCAAAAAAACACAAAAAACAAACACATCTCTATACAGAAGAGTTGAATTCAGGAACTTAGGCTAATTGGTTCAAGACCACACAAGCTATGATTCTGGGGTGACTCTGGGACAGGCCCCTCTGGTCCCTCCTGGACTGTATTAATTCCCACTGTGCTCTAGCATCTAGATGTGTGCCTACATCTCAACTACCTCTGTGCTGTGTGTGCGATACGTGACCTTAGTCAGAAGAGCAATAGGAAGAACAGAAGGAAGAGAAGGAAGTGATCCACTCTGGCTCCTGGGCTCTGATGGCACTTGGACCAATAACTGAGATCGTTGAACTCTGGGACAAAGGAGGAGAACAAGGACAATCGTGCAATGTGTTCACTTCCAGTTTAGACAATGAGAAAGTCCAGGGTCATATCTTATAAATTTCATAACATGTATCTCATTTAATCCTCATGATATTTTGGGAATTGGGATGAATATCACAAATTAGAATGTTTGCTAAAAGGTATCTAGAACTGAATTTCTCCTTGAAATCTTAAACTGTGTAAGAGGAGAGGGAAAAGATGTGGGGAAATGAACACATTTCAGTCACTAGGAGGAATGATGTTTATAAGAAATTCTCTGCCATACAACAGAGGATCAGAAGGAACCATGAGAGGAGACTGATTACCGTTTTCATTGGCCCTGTAGAGTATTAGCGTTGGAACCATGTGTCAGCATCTGTCAGAAAACACTGCTCCACGGCGGTCCCCACTTCTGCTTTCTGCCTTCTCATCTTGGGTTTCTTAGTAAGAAACTTAAAATAAACTCCTTTGATTTGACTTCTATTAGTTGCCCTTCCTCTGCTGATAGGAAGTGGGTGGCAGGACAAAAATAGATGCTAACGTTTGAAGTCCTTGTTAGGTAGTAAAGCTCTTTCTAAATGGTTCCTCCCAGACTAACTCACTGTATGTCTACATAATTCCATGGAAGGTTTTCTTTCAGAAAACACTGGGAGTTTATTAAATCTTTATTTATCTTCAATTTGTTGCAGTCTCTGAATCAGCAACTGAGTGGCTCTGCCAAGATAAAACATCTATTGATGGCTGTCTGAAATATTCTGTAAGGTTTTTTTTTTTTTAAGATTTATTTATTTTATGTATGTGAGTGATCTATGTGCATGTTCACCTGCACACCAGAAGAAGGCATCTTATCTCACTACAGATGGCTGTGAGGCACCATGTGGTAGCTGGGAATTGAACTCAGGACCTCTGGAAGAGCAGCCAGTGCTCTTAACCTCCGAGCCATCTCTCCAGCCCTCTGTGAGTTTTCTTATGCAAGTGTTCTTAATAATGACTGCCGGGGAACACGTGTTCTTATATTTGGATGTTACATATATGGCTCGTTACTCAGAACTCATTTTTATTTGGTGCCCTTTTTACTGAAGTAGAAATTCTTGTTTTTTAAGCCTAGGTGGCCTTTCAGATACATCTGCTCCCCTTCTCACCAGAGCCTGATGCTACAAATGAGCTTATACACGGAAGAAGGTGTACTCACTTGGCAAGGAAGATTAAAGCAGGCACCTGAAAACTCTGAAATGAATTTTAAAAAGGAGCCAATGACCCCCACACTCAATTATTCTGTTGAGAAACATTTTGACCACAAAGATGACACAGTTGAGATTAGATAGTAGTCGGTGTCCTGGAATTGTGAGTTCCCTCCCATAACTGGAGGAAGCAAAACTTCCTTAGTTACATTTCACCTGAATTCCTGCCGGGAGGGCTCAGCGCCACACCCAGTGCCTGGTGGGAGAAGGGCACATAGGCTTCCTCAGCAGCTTCGCACCAGAGGCTGTCCTGCCTCCCCGGGTGTACAAACCCACTCCCATCTCAGGAAAACATTCTTTTTTTTTTTTTTCTCCCAGATTTTCTTTTTATTTGAATTAGAAACAAGATTGTTTTACATGACAATCCTAGTTTCCTTCTCCCTCCCCTACTCCCCTACCACTCCCCCCCCCAACTAAAACCCTCCCTATCACATATCCTTTC